GAACACAGACTCTAAATAATCCTAGTCATCGGTTACCCGAGAGAGACATTGAGATAATCAAATAGATTGGTGCGTTATATACTTGTCCATATGATGGAGGTAATTGGTCTCATAGCTGCTCGTGTGGGGATACTAGGGCTATAGTGTAGGTGCTCATTGGAGAATGAGTTCATTGATTGATCCGCTCATGGAATGTTGGATGGTTAATGATACTTCATTGTCAGACAGTGATTTTATTGTCCTAGTGGTGTACCTGGTCCTTAGACTTAAGACACTAAGGATGTCTTATATGAGTACTCCACTCTTTGATACCGAGCTTATATGTTTGGAAGTTTCAGATCTAGCACAGCAGGTCATCGGAAGTGGTAATCAACCTTACGAGGGCTATTGAGTGTCGATAAAGGATCATTCGCTTTCGGTATCATAAGAGGAATATCCCATGTATTCTTACTCAGACAAATCCCTAACCATGGTTATTTGGATTGAGAGAGAAAGAGTTCTTCGGGAGAATTCGATTAGATCAAGACTCGACTAGAAACCGTATGGGTCTGACAGCACCATACCCGGTATATGGTCTCTGGGATATTAGATGGATGTGAGACTATAGGTACATGATAACAACGTAGTGGCCTAGTATGTCCATCATCGATAAGTCGAGTGAATTATTATTTATGAATTATTATGAAGATAATAATTCACTAAGCCAGAAGGAGTTCTGATAGGTATGACTTACGACTAGCTTGATATTGGGCCTAGAGGGTCACACACATATGGTAGGCATTACGACGAGTAGAGGTTCGGATATGAGATATTTACTAGAGCTCCTATCTTATTAGATATCCAATAAGCCCATGAATTATTAGATCCTATCGATGAGATCCAATAAGAGCCAATGAGAGATTATTGGATAGAGATCCACCAATCTAAGAGGCCTGGGTAGTCAGATGAAGATCCAATACTCAATAAAACAGGATCCATTAAAGTTAAGTAGATATGAGACCTCTATAAATAGGAGGAAGCCAAAGGCCCATAGGCTAAAGGCTTCTTGGTTGTCACCTCCTATTCTCCTTTTCCTTCTCCTCCTCAGATAGCAGGTGTGAAGATTTGGGCAGCAATTTGAGGAGCATCGTCATAACCCTACTATGTGGATCACTGCTAGAGAGGAGGGCGCTTGACCTCCTTCATCCTCTCCTACAGATCTGCAGAGATTCAGAGATATATGATCTCCCTAGATAAAACACAACTATCTCATATGTGGATTTAAGTTTCACAGGTTTATTCACACTAATCTTTGTCTGACGACGAACATATTTTTAAAAAATTTGAGGTTTTTATTTTCTGTTCTTCCACTACGTATGTGATGTCGCTCCCAAATTTTCCTACATCTGCCTCATCCTCGTCAGTGCCAAGGGTAGCCTAAGGACCTAGGACTCAACAACCTTGTGCCTTTGCCTCATCCTCAGTAATGCCAAGGATAGCCCAAGGAATATAGCCTCAGTAGCCCTACGCCTCTGCCTCGTCCTCGGCAATGTCAATGATAGCTTAGGGAATGAGGCCTTAGTGGCCCTATGCCCTTGCCTCATCTTTGGTGGCACCCTTCAAGACTCCGTGAGCCTTTGCTCGGCTTCCTCTCATAGGTGAGCTAGCTCTAGCGTTAGGGACCTAGGCCTCAATGGCCCTGTGCCCCCGTCTCGTCCACAGCAATGCCCTCCAGGCCTCCGTGAGCCTTTGCTTAACTCCCTTTGCTCACAAGTGAGCGAGCTCCAACATTAGGGACCCAAGTGATAAAGTGATAGAATGAAGAGTAAAATTGTAAAGGTAAAGAGAAAGCAGATCTCAATTAGTGTCATATAATGCCTATTTATACATAGTGAAAGAGAGGATTTTCCTCTATTTATACATTGAAGCCTGACGAGAGTTACTACATTGATGGAAATAAGGCTTGTATGTGGGAAAGTACTATGGTTCCTTATAAGAACAACAACTGGAGCATCAGAGGTAGATAATGAGGATATATGGAAGTAGGTAAAAGGTTGCAGCAACGACAATGATCAGGGAATAAGAGGTGGTGGTGGTGCAGATCAATGTCACATGAGGAAGGTTGTTGGCAAACGAGGTCTTTGTTGAAGGAGAAGGTTAGCTTTGTATAAGACAGTTGTAGATCTTTGTGTAGCAGATCAGCAGTTAGGAATCTGGGCAGCGATGCAGTGATACAACAAGTGGCGTGGAAAGGTTCCAAATGCTGCTTGTCGAGGCGAAGGTGGAGCAGGATGCAGTGGCTGCCCCGATCACCGATCAAAGG